TCCTAGAATATGAAAACCACAAATTCATCAGAAGGTTCAGACAGTCTCCAGACCTGCTGTTTGTGTCTATGGAACTATTCACCTTTGAACCACTGTATGTATAGATATATATATACATAATAGTTCAAAATAGGAACTGTGGGCACACTTCTGGCTCCAATTCACTTTCTACTGAAAAACTGTCACCCCTCTGACTACTGCTGTCAGACTCCCCATTTTGGTCTTTAAATGTTCACAATAACTTTTAATTAATTATTAATTCATTTAATAATTAATCATTTCATTTATATAGCCCCTTTCAAGACACCCAAAGCGCTCTACAGTTCATTGTTCACTCAACACACTCAAGCGAGCTACAACTGTAACCACAGCTGCCCAGGGACAGACTGATGGAAGCGAGGCTGCCAATTTGCTCCATTGGCCCCCCCGACCACCATCAACACTCACGCACACTCCACATTCTTACTAGGTGAAGTGTCTTGCCTAAGAACACAACGACACACTATGGCACTTGGAATTCCCACTGATCTCCCATCCAAGTACTAACCGGGCCCGGCGTTACTTAACTTTTGAGATCTGATGAGATCAGATTTTGACAAGATGGTATGGCCGCAAACTGGCTCTACATGATATTTCACAATTTTCTTTATAAATCAATATATGACCATTAATCACAAAAAAATCAGGTGCATTCTTTCCCTGAGGTGGCTATTGCTAGCCTTAGCTAGACCAGTGCTGCAGGTGGGCAGAGGGTTACCTTCAAAAGTCTTGTACCAGATTGGCTCTTTGGTTGCTATAATACTCATAGTCAGAATCCAAAATACAGTATGGAACTTGGCTCCATATTTCTCCCTAAAACTGTGGCCTCAATGAGCTTCATTTGACTGGAACCAAACGTTAAGGCTTACGTCACACTCCCTTTATACAGTCTATGGTCTGGACCCAAGCAAACAATGATGTCACACTTAGACCCTTTTCTGTATTTACTATTCTTTGCGTGTGGACCAAGCCGCAATCGTAAACACATTTCTCCCCCCTGAATATTTATTTGGAAACATATAAGCACTCACAAAAGCAGGAAAGCTGTGTCTATTGAAGAAATTACACCATGACACAAACAATTACTGTGGAAATTTGTAACAAGGACAAGATGGCTGTCTATGACCTATTTCGAATGAGATTTTTTGCTTTCTTTGTAGCAACCGAAGACATGACTGCTTTGGATAGAGGAGTTGAAAGCAAAATATGAAGATACTATTAACCACCTCCAAGTCTGTCAACAGCATCATGAAGGAGAAAAAATCATGAAAGAGCTTGGAAGTTTAGGTGATTTTGATGTATTGACAAAACGTTTTCAGATACCATTGTCTAACTTAACTAATATATTTGACAGTGTAACAGTAGCCTGCTCTTGAGTAAACAATTTGGTTACTCTTTCCACTGTGTATAAGTCTACAAGTGACAAAAAACTGTATGTTGACAAGATGAAATGATTTGGACAAATGTGATTCTTGCACCTCTTCCTCAGACTTCATTTTGTTTTGCTTTGGAAAATATCAAATTTGGCGCATTATTTATTCATAATATTTTCTGATGTGTGTTACAGGAAGTGCCCATTGTGTTATTAAACTTCATTCACCTTCACTAGATTCCTTTGGATAATTTCAGCTCTGGAATTGCCAAACTTTACTGAACAAAAAGTAAAAGGTAGCTTTTAATTTGAAAAACATGACAGGTGGACAGAGCATAGATAGAGTAATAATAAAAGATTCATTCAAACATGGGTGAATGAAACAAAACACAACTCCAGGTATGTTTTTGAGGAGGTAACAACATTATAACATGGCTTGAAGCTCACTAGAGTGAATTTTGCATAATATAGGACCATTAAAGTCTTTCCAATGAACTTTAAATTAAAAATCTGGCCATACTTTTTATGACTTCTACTTAAGTATTACTTTGAAGGAACAGTACTCTTAAATACATATTTTGTTACTCTAACCACATCTGATAAGAAGTATGTGAAAAATGCAAAACGAGAAGCTGGATGGAGGATTGCATTTCAACTCTGTGTAGTGGACGACTTAATCAGAAGTGTCAGTTTTTCTTTCAGGAGGTTGTATGGACTTTTTCATGTGACAGCAGCTAAAGGTAACACAGGAGAGGTGTATGCAAAAGGAACAAAGAATATAGTAATGTACAACAATGGGATAGAAACACATTTTTTGGCTGAAATACAAAATTTCAAATAGTGTGAGCTGGTATTATTCACAGACTTGTAACTTTCTCTATATCACCTTCCCTGGATGAGTGTGGACAACTGGTGGTGGTGAAGACACTGTTAGTCTAGATTGGTAGCCACATCCCTGTCAGGGCAGTTGTAGCCACAGTAGCTCATCAGACTAAAAATATAATAATGATCAGAAATACATTTATTGACTGAGTAAGAGAATAATATGATAAAACACAAAATGCCTTGTTCCACCTTGTAATATCATGTAGGGGTATTTTTTGAGTTAATAGCTTCGCTTCTATTTACATTTAGTTCAGTAGAGATTGGCAATGTTCAAGCTGAAATCATCCAAATTATTCTAGTGAAGGTGTATGGAGTTTAAAATCACACTTGAGCACATCTGTTATGATCACATGACATTGCAAGGTGAAGCAAATGTTTTCAGTTTGAGAGCCTAAACATGCAAGGTGTGTGTGTTAAACATGTGAATGAAACAAAACACAAGTCCAGGTCTGTTTTTGATGATGAAATAATATTATAACAGATCATAAAATAGTGGAATATAGACATTTTAAACAACTGTAACAATACGCGTTGTTACTAAATGAGCCAACCTGAACTCCATCTTTTTCAAGACTGGGGAAAATGGAGTAGCTGGAAGAAAGTCAGGAAAAAAAAAAAAAAAAAAAGAAAGAAAGAAAAAACACAGTCCACATAGGATCAAACTCAAGTCATAAAAGCTACGTAGAGCTCCTTTGAATGAATCTACATCCATGGAGACAAGTGACACAGCTAGACCAACTTGCAGGTGAGATCTGGGGAGAGGCGAGCATGCACAGAGTAAGAATGCAATGTTTTCCATAAAATACCTTTAACTGAATGAACGCAAGATAGTGTAATGTCACACTGTGGAACATTTCAGGCATAACAATAACATTTCCATGGATACAAACAATGCAGCTTTAAAGGTGCATTCTGTTTTTTTTCTGACAGAGGGTCCATTAAATGCTTGGCTCCATAGAGATGTTATTGCTTTGTCTGGAATGTTTCAGAGTATGGCATTAAACCTATATATATATATATATATATATATATATATATATATATATATATATATATATATATATATATATATATATATATAGTTGTTTTTTGGTTTTTTTTCTTACTTCTTTTTTGTGCTGTAAAACCAAATGTAAGGCAGAGCTGTTCAATGTCATACTGTGGAACATTCCAGGCATGGCAATAACATTCTCATGCACACAAGCAGATGACAGAACCTTCACCAGAAAAGTTACACAGTGCATCTTTAAACCATGGGTCCCTGTGCGTTTTTAAAGTAACATATAACTATACTTGTACAGTTAATCCCTTATGCTCTTCACACTGTACACATTGACTTATCAGCGTATCACCTGAGAACATTATCCCATTACATTACATGACCCTGACGCTATTTAGAAACCATTTGGGGCCGACTCTTATCTAAATACAGCCGTAAATCAGGCGCTGTCAGTGGCCTGTTCTCCATAAAAGCTCTGCCTCTGCCGCTCTGTTTACAGCCGCTGCGATGGAGCGCTATCTCTCCGCGCTGCGCTTCCATAAATACACATCTGTCACAACTTTATGTCCCCGAAATACACGCGAAAACATGCCTCAAATGCACAAAATCACACTAAATATTAGATCTGTGTTTGTATTTAAATTCTATTGTGTTGATGTTTCGCACTTAGATGGGGTCAATAGTCAGATTTTCCTTATGGATAAGACTTGCCAAAGTAAAATACCCTCGAAAATCCCTGTTAACATTGTGCTTGGGGACGGGTCAGAATCGTATGTTTTGACCTTGTTTATGGTAATATATCTACATATACTGGGCCTATCTACATATTTATTGATTTATTTATTCATTTATTTTTCTGATTCAGAATATTTTACTCTATTTGGTTGCTGTCGATTGAGGGCTTTATACCACAAGATCAGAAGACATGTTTGTGGACCCAATCTCTAATTAAACTTTGTTGAAAAACTAATATTAATAATCCTTAATCTCAGAAGATTCAGTTGAATACACTTTGCCAGTGAAGGCATTAATACAAAATACTACTACTACTACTACTACTACTACTACTAATGATAATAATAATAATAATAATAATAATAATAATAATAATAATAATAATAATAATAATAATATGCTGCTCTGTTTGAAACATATACATTTTTAATATCAATATTTTGTGTTATTTGAGGCATCATCACTTTGAAGTGAGGCAAATCGCGTGGTTGACAAAGTTTTAACAGACACATGTCAGGGCAAGAATTTACTATTTGACTATTTAGGTCAAGAATAATGACAAAAGTATGCCTTATTGAACAATATAAAGCAAACGTGTTTTTTTTTTTTTTTTTTTTTTTTTTTTTTTTTTTTTTTTGTTTCCATGCTTCTCTACTACTCTTTACGCAAGTTGATCTTCAAGTAAGCCTATTAATTGGGAAGTTTACAGTTGGTCCCTTTCAAAGTTTGTTCTTTGATTATGTTTTAGTTTGGTCTATTTTTATTCCGTGTTGGTGCAGTTTGGCTCATAGTTGATCGGATCTTACGGGTTTCACGTGTGGACGGACGCTCTTCTCTCTGGGCCTCGCGCCTTCCCCTCCCACTGTGCTCACTTCTGATTGGCTGCCTCCTCTGCACGCGCACTCCCACTGTGGATAAACTCTGGCCTGTCACCTCCACGAGACTCAGTGCTTCAAAAATAACACACGGCAACAGTCGTTTGTGGATTTTAAACTTTTACCTCGTGATGTAAACTTTTGTTTTGGGATATTGTGCGTTTTCTGTGGATGCTTTGTTTGGCTCGTGCGTCTGTTTCTCTGCTCCAAAATGAACATCATCAGCGGATACCAGCATCACCATCATCACCATCACCACCTCATGCACGAGCCCTTCCCCTCGCACGCGCCTTACTTTCAAAGTTGGGTGTTAAACCACGACTTACCCCCGACAGACTTCCACATTCAAGCGCCAGGAACACCGGGCTCCGTGACGCACGATGTCCGGTTTGACGCACTCCATGGCGGCCAAGCCAAGCGCAGGACCCCGGGGCCTAAAAAAGAGAGACGGAGGACAGAGAGCATCAACACGGCTTTCGCAGAGCTCAGGGAGTGCATACCCAACGTGCCCGCAGATACAAAACTGTCAAAAATAAAGACCCTACGCCTTGCCACGAGTTACATCGCGTATCTAATGGATGTCCTGGCCAAAGATTCCGGGGAAACCGAGGGCTTCAAGGCCGAGATCAAGAAGTACGAAAGCAGGGACCTGAAGAGGAAAAGGGAATTGGTGAGTTGGTAAAGTAAAATAATGCATAGCTATCAATGTAAATGACAAAATTAGATCAACAATTATAAACTTTTTATTGAAATAAGTAAAATAAAATATGTCATGATTTTACTCGGGCGTTCGATAAATTCTAGTTTGTTTAAGTGTGTTTTGTGCATGGCAGCAGCTGTTAGGCCACTAAAATGAGGTCAAACTTAGATCAAACACACACAATAATCCCCCATAAAGCGAAACTATTTTGCTTTACAATTTTCTTTTAAACTGAGAAACCCATAAACTTACTGCGTAAAAGTGCCGCAGTGAAATTAAACCAAAACCACAAACGTATTTCTTCAGCCAAGTGAAGGCCTGGCGTGTAGCTCTCAGATTTGACAGTCAGTTTTTACAAAACACTACAGAATAAGATAAAAAACGCTATAGGGTTTACCAGTATATGAAGTGAATCAATTTAAATGTTGTGCCTTTACATTCCAGTTAAACTAAAGTTAAGATGAAGTGAATGCGCGTGAATGGAATCAACTATTTAAGCACGTAGAGCTATTCAATTCTAAAAACAAAAAACAAAAACAATTATCTTTATAATAATGTTATGGAAGTCGTTTATTATAGTCCAGCCTACCCTTTTGTGGATGAAGAGATTGTAGGTCTAGTTCTCTTTAGACGAGCCATTTTTATGTCTTTTACGCACGAGATTTTAGTTAACCGTGCATTGTCCGTACTTTTTTATTTTAAATTTATTCATAAAAGCTTGTACACCCTTTTCTTAATAAAGCGCTCTTAAAGCTCTTAGACGTTTGTAGATGTAGGCCTCAAACACGTAAAACATAACTGCGTTGTATGTGATCTTAACGTAAAGACAAATGACAAAAAAATATGTTAAACAAAACTGAAGAAGCAGCTTGGATGAGCTACGAAACTTATTTGGTCAAAACTTTTGTCCACTTGACAGAATTTAATTTCTACTGTGCTATGGATCCTACCTGGACGACTGAGAGGTTCGGGATTTGGACAATGTGTTATTAAAAACTCCCCAAATGTTGAGCTTCGTTGCATCTTTGAAACAGCTTACAGTTAATGCGTCGACAAATGAAATAGATAAGATTATCACGCACACTGAAACAAAATAGACTTGCCCTAGCCCTCAATAACTCTCAATATTTAAAAGCATGGCATATAGACTGAAAAACAGATTCAGACTTTCTTGTTGACAAAATTCATGCAGATTCCATGTCCCCAGTTGCGGATTAGGTAATGAGGGGAACTAAACTCAGTGAATCCTTCATTTTGTGCTTAACCTGAATGTATTGATAGGCCGTATATTATTTTTTTGATTATCAAATTTATCAGTTGTCTTGAGAAGAAAAAAATATAAAAGACTTTCAACCAAAATATTGCCTTTTTTTTTTTTTCTTTAGAATAATAAAGTCTGTCTAAGTTTAGTTCATTCAGTCAGATTTGTTCCAGTAGCTACCAAATAGTTTGCATCAGACATTAAATACTTGGGCACAGAAGCTCAAATAGAAAACAGATCTTTACAACACTACAAAACAGTATAGAAAGGCTGAACGATTTAGGAAATATCCTGACAAGCATTGTAATTGCAGTTTGATTAGCATTTTGTTCAAAGTTCACATTTTTAAAAGTCCAGAAGAATTGACCAAAAGATTGAAATATTCATTGACAAATACAAGAATCACATTTCAGAACAGGTTTGTACAGATCTAAATTACAAGGTTAGCAGTTTTATACAGAATAAGACAGAATATTTATTGTTTGTGGAGGAAATTATAGTACTTCAGAAACTGCAGTCTTTGTGATTAATCTTGCAGTCTTGCCTCAGTGTAACCCATTTTAATTATTACATTGTTGTTCTTTTCCTTAGAACCCAGATGGACTACAGGAAACATTCATCGCCGAGAAAAAGGTCAAAGGTCGGACGGGTTGGCCGCAACAGGTCTGGGCTCTGGAGTTGAACCAGTGACTCCATATTTTTAACTGGTTTGAAAGACTAAACCAGCCCATGGACTCAAGCAGAGCTGCCAAGAGCAAAATGAAGGACTTGAAAATAAGTTTGAAGTGGACTACATGTTTTTGTGTTGAATGTGGTGTGTCCTGGTGGGTTTTGTTGGTTACACTACTGTTGTCTTGTCAAAATGAAGGAATAAATTATTAATATTAGAGCAATGCAACACTACTGGATGTAATTTAACAACAGTACAGATTATTACAGTTTCAAGCTTTTCAGACAGTTGCGTTCACAGTCCTATCTATAGTTTCAAAATCAGCTGGAGGGCAATCAGATTTCTAAATTGTAATTTGTTGTTTAACTGTCAGATTGCAGATTTGTTGACCTGGTATATGGTTAATGACTCTGTAATTACTGGGCCTAAGAAAACAAAAAGTTTTAAACAGAAGCTGTTTTTTTGTTGTTGTTTTTTTTTTTTTTTTTTTTTACAGTAGCTTCAAGTGGTGCTTTTATTCAACATCAAATACAAGCCTGTTGAAAGGACTTTTAAGACAGAAGATTAAAATGGCAAATTTGTGATGCCTACCTAAAAACAACGATAAATCTCTCAGAGAGTTGTACAGGGCCTTGATATGCTAGATCCTTGTGTGTTGTGTATCGATGGCTGGTGGTGCAGGATTTGGAAAAGCAAACCAAAGGTGTAACATGGGGTGACATTAAAGGTGCACTGTGTAACTTTTCTGCTGGAGGGTCTGCCACCTGGAGTAGGCCATTAAACATAGCCATTTATTCAATTACAGGTGTATTATTGTGACAAAGTACCTTGAAAAACAGGCATTCTTTGACCTTCATGGAAACACGTTTAATGCCAGTAAAAGGTGACATCTCCACATAGAGAAAATTGCATATAATCTTCATTAAATTAGGATAAAATGGTAAAGAATTTTGCAAACGTAGTTTTCTTTTTAAAATAAATTATGTACACACAACTTTTAATGCACTTTCTCAAACACTTTCACTTGACCATAGAACTCACAAGGCTGTTAGTCAATCAAATTCAGTAAAAAAAAAGTTTTTTCACAACACATTTTTGCTGTTTCTTATTTTTGTGTGTTGTCTGAAATCTACCTCAAAATAATGTCACTGTTATCGTCTTTATCCAATAACAGAGATTGTTGTGGTTGTAATTTGTACAGATGTGAAGTTCTATATAAATAAATGAAATCTTTAACGCACAATCAACCGTTTTCTTGATTTTTGTTTTCTTAATTGACTTTTAATTAGCATTTTTTAAATTTGTATTTATTATTATTATTATTATTTTAATAGAAAAATATGTAAAATACATACTCAGATTTTATAATGTCAAAATCTCAAATATTTCAAATGAGTCAATCAGGCCTACAAATTAAAGGTGCACCATGTAACTTTTCTGGCATCTGTGAGACATCATCATTAATAATTATAATAATTTCTTACACTTTACAGGCTTGCCTCTCAAACTTGATTATTCAGTTCATACTTGGTGGTTGCCAGAGCCACCCTGGGACAGACTTACAAAAGAAAGGCTACCAATCTGAGGCATCAGCCTCTCCAACCAACACTTATTACTCACGCTCACAGCACTTTTAATCTAGGCTTATACTAGGTGAGTGAAGTGTCTTGCCTAAGGGCACAAAGACAGAACTTGATCCAAGTGAGAATCAACCCTCCAACCTTCGGGTTGGGGTTCATTGCTCTAACCAGTTAGGCACTGTCGACCCGCATTGAGTCGTTCTTGCTTTTTTATGTTCCACAGTATGCCACTTAATTTATACATTTCTATGGAGACAAGCAGGAGACATATCCAAGCCATTACAGGTGATATAATGTAGAGCTATCTTTACTCACAGTTGCATGCTTTCAGGGTATTTTTGAGCACCTGTTATTGAATAAATATAAGAAAAGTTGCATAGTTAGGGCACCTTCAATTTAGTGTTAATTTGTTTTATTTGTTCTGTCAGAGAAGACACTGATATTCATATGAATATTTAATCTGAACAGCAGATTATTCCACCAAGTATTACAAATGTCCTATCTCCAATTTAAATTACTTTATTTTAACAGTATCTTACATACTTACTTAGTGACACATTCATGTTTTCTCAACTTCACCATAGCTCACAGATGAGTGGATCCTCTTAATCTGGTATTACTTCATGAAATGAAGACCAATGGGAACATCTAGTGGATAAATCAGACATAACCACAAACATACTTTTGATTGTGGGTGCATTTAATAATAACAAAAAAAATGCTTATAGTTATTTAATATCATATTATAATATTTGAAGTTGTCACATTTAAGCAAGTAAACATTAAAACAGTTGTACTAAAAATGTTAACACCAAGTACCATCATAGAAAATATTTGTCCTTCTATCCCACTCCATCAGGTCTAAACCAGCTCTAAACCAAGACTATTCTGGGTATAAACTAAAATGGGTCTAGACTGTTGCTATACTTGTTCTAAAAAAGGACCAATCCAAAGAAGGACAAAAACATGTATTAAATTGACTACATTTTCAGAGAGCACTGAATTTGGCAAAGAGCTACAGCAACACCTGGTGGTCAGTAATTGCTCTGACAGCAAATTTGAGTACTTTGAGTATACAGCAGTTATGGTTCTCCCCTTGTGCTGTATCTGACAACAAACAAGAGTGAATAACAGAAGGACAGAAGATGACGATGAAGATGAAGACAATGACAATGATTGTCCAGTTAATTAATTTTTCTATGGGGACAATAAAGAGTACCTTACCTTACGCCTGCATGTGAGGTGATTTATACTTAACTTTAAGCCAAAGGATCGGACGTTCAGTTCCCAAGATATTACATCCAGGGGCATTATTGGGCAGTGTGTGAAAGCATCTACCATAAAAACCTATGGAATACTTAGAAAAGAAAGACATCGAAAGGTAAACCCAACAGAGGCTCATCTGTACAATATATTTATTAACAATATCAGGAGCAATTTTTAAATACATTTTTCTAATACAACTAGATTAATGTGTTGTGCCTACGGATTAATAAAGACTTGTGACATCTACAAAACACTACAAGAAAACTGAAATAAAAAAAGGTGAGAAATGAAAGTTCTAATTTGGAAATCTATATTTGGACAACTTCAATGTACATTTGAGTTACAGATTTTGAATTTGAATGGGGAACATTTTGAAATGTATAACTTAACTCAAAAGACCCAATTTAGTCAGTGCATAAATTGTGGGTTCTCATAAACACTGGGTCAAAATATGATTGTTGTACTGAAAAGATTTTGAAACACATTGAAGGAAGTCCAAATTTGACATGTAGTTTAAATAATAAAATGATTACTAACAATCACAACAATTTTTAATGGCTACACACCTTTAATGGCTCAATAATAATAAATAAAAAATAATAAAATCAGATTTCTAGGTGTTACCGAAATCATCTCAGCATCTTGGAGTTTGGATAGGTCTGGATAGTGGGTCAAATGCCTAAGATTGGTCAATACTACAACATTTTTGGAATATAGAAATAAAGAGAGGAAGACAAGATAGAAAAGCAATTTCTGACTTTTAAATTGACTTTATAAACGTGCACAATGGAACTTTTTGGTAAGAATCCAACACCTGGTTGTGTCCATGGAGATGATATGCTAGAGAGATTGCTTTCTCTGGAATGTCCCACAGTATGACTTTAGACTTACTTATTATTTAAATATAGATGTTATTTTCCAATAAACGAAAGCTTGAAAAATATGCATTCTACTGTAAGCGCTCCACAATTGGACCTCTAAATTGGTGCTTGTCTATATGGAAGTGGTGGAAAATTTCAGGTAAAGCAACAACATTTCCATGGTGACGGACCCTGTACTCAGAAAGTTACACATTCCACCTTTAAGTGTAGTTTGCGGAGTTCACTAGGAGGTCATTCAGCTTGTAACTCAATCATTCTAAAAGTATGCAACAATTTATATATGTATAAATGTGTTTTATGGGATAAGTCTCAATCGTGTGTGTAGCCATTATCAAGAGTTGGCAATAACACTAATTCAACATACACAAAGACATTCGCATGAAGAAAAATAAATCAAAATGCTCTACAAGAAAAAAAAAAAAGTTAAATTAAAAACAACCATTAACTTTGCATCAGTCAACGTCCAAAGTAATCTGAGAAAGTTGGGTTCTCCTCTTTTTTTTCAATCAATACATTTTACCAATAGGAAATAAAGTGTGTGGTTTTATAAATGTATATTTGTTAAATGCCTTTTTGGGGTAGAAAAGTTGGGAAGAGTAAATCCATGAAATATTTCCATATACACAATGAATGCCCAATATCATGGTACAAAGAATACGCTTATTAAGGCTTTTAGATAACCTGGTCAAAGAGGAGGGTTTTTTGTTTTTAAATCTAGGTAGCAGCTATTGGCTTTTAATTTTCATTTATTTAACGGTTTGTGTTAAAATTGTGTCTTATCTGAAGGTGATTTACAATTAAGAGCATCTAGAATTTAAAAAATGGTATTGCAATGCTTGGGTTAGGTGCATTATGTAACTTTTCCGCTAGAATGTCTGCCACCTCACCATGGAGACGCTATTGCTTTTCAAGTGGTGTCACCAGGGCAAATGACAGGTCAGATCTGTGGAGAGGCAAACCTGCTCAAGGATTATTTTTCTTTTAATTAAAACATAATGAAGTAAATGGTGAGTTTAATACCGTTTTGTGGATCATTCCAGGCAAACAATCTCCATGGAGACATGCAGGTAGCAGACATCCCACTAGGAATGTTACACAGTGCACTTTTACACATATTGATGGTGGACATGACATTAGCAAAGCCATACTTTCCAAAAACATCATTCATTCATATTAAAAAAGTTCACTCTTTTAGATCCACAAACTCTTTTCCCATTTGGCACAAGGGAAAGTCACCTCTGAAAGACGCTTTGTTTGATTCTTAAGGCAGCTATACATGTAGTCGGTACGTAGCATTCAGACAGCGAGATTTTGTACACATTTACATTAGAGCAAAGAGTGACCTAATAAAGTTCATATGCTTTTTACACCTGTTTTTGGCAGAAGAAACCCCAAAAAAGAGCGGTCTGACCATTGAGACGGCATGCGGGAGTCAGTGTTTCAGAAGCAGGTGATACGAGCTCACCATAGTAAAGTCTGCCTCCTCAGATGATGATGGGAGATTGAGTTTTGGTTTTGGGGGTCTACAGACATACTGTTTGGTTGCCGTGGGGATGTGGACAGAGAGAGAGGGGGGAGGGGCAGTTCAGTCCAGGGCTTTGGTGCTGTCCGATTTCTGGTCCAGTCGGCTCTTGCTGCTCTTCACCATGTAGATGAAGTAGGTCAGGGTCTCCTTCTCGTTCACAGGGATGTTTCTGAAGTGACGACTCACAGTCTAAAGAAATGACAAAGGTATTACTACATATACAATTTATGAAGCAGTTTTCAACAAATTTGGAGAAAAATTATTTAAAACACTAATAATAGTACATCTAATACGTACAATATATACATAACAGTCAAAACTTTAAAGTTGTGCTCCCTTTTAATGATTGCACACATTTTAACAGTCAAATAGTTAAACATTTTACATAAAAAAAAAAAATTAAGCATGTGCTTCACATCTAAAAAATAAGACTAGAATATGCAATCAAAATCAAAATTCTTATCAAATAATGACAAAATAACAATGTTTTCCACAAAAAAGACTGGGGACCCACTGGGAGAGCTGGCTTTCAACCATCAACCACAGTTACAAGATGTCCTCTGGAGTCAGGAGCACTATATAAATTTATGATAGCCTCCATTTACTTTATTTAAACAAACATCAGACAGTCAGTCGCTTTGCAAATACTCAAAACACACCACTTCTTAATATTTCTAAAGTATTTCCTATGAACTCTACAGTCACCCTCTTCATGCCATTAGCACCTGACCCCATGTGGGCACATTAGGATTAAAATAAACTTTATTATCCCCAAGTGGAAATGTGTCTTGGGCTCATGGCCTGCATCTTAAAACAGTTACACTTGTATAACACTACAGTCAGCCAGAGACAGCACTGCTTAATTGTAAAGTGTCCAAGTTACTGCACCAGTCCCAATACACAAATATAATTAATAACAACCATAAGTTCAAAACAGTGGTTAAGGAACCAAACCCGGCAACCAGCCCCAAAAGAGCATTATAAAAACAGGTCATGGTCTCTGTGCTCATATTAAATGTCCTCCTTAAAAGTCTCCTTAAGACATGAGCTGCTGTGACACTTAAGGAGTGTCCCAGAGGCTCCACTTTTACCTCCTCTGAGGGCAGTTGTGTTTGCTCATCTTAAACACAGTGTTTACAGAGCAAACAGAAAACTGTCTCCTCCAATGCTCACAGTGACACTGGAACATTATGAGCAGGGACGAAAGACAGGAAGAAAAGGACAAAAGGGACCAAGGGAAATTTTGAACTTTTTTCAACATATTATGAGCAATTAAAATCTTATTTATGAAACCAATTTAGTTTAGTTAAATTTTACTAGATAAGACTGGATCATTATTGCCCCTTTTAATGTTACAAATCTAATCCCAATTTCAATATTGTCTGAAAAAAGCAAATAAATAATTTTATGAATCATTCAGATCAACATTTGGTCACAATGTGAATGCTTTGACAGTTAAAGTGCTGAATAAAGTCTATCATACATAATAGAGCTGTGCAAATAACAATTAGATTCAAATTGGGATCCAACTGTTTTAATAGTCAATTATCACCTTGAGTCTTTGTAATTAAGAGGTTTACAGCCAATCCTCTGTCATCTTTGGCCATTTTTGTGTCAAATGATGCAAGAAAATATGGCTTGTTTATGTTTATTAAATTAACAGTAGAAGCCATTTTCTTTGTTTTTAATAAGAAACAATAAAATTGAATCAAAATGTGTAAAACATCAAAACAAGATTTTTTTTTTGCTAGTATTTCTAGTGTCAATGTGAATGATCAACTATTTAAAACATATTCACAGCAATAGATAGCTGCCCTACATGCCAGAATCTTAACATACAGAAAGTATAACAGTAGTTAGAAAGTCTTCATAGTTTACATTTGAATGCCACTGTACCTCTGCAAGCTGGGCTTTGTTGAGCCCCGGTCTGGTCTGCAGTTTGTAGTGTCGCTTGTAACGTCTCAATGTGTTCACCTGCAGCTGGAACAAATCCACCTGAAAATACAGAATATTAAAACTGTAACAATCCAATCATCAAGCAGGCAATTATCTGTATCTGTAACTAGATAACCGTTTGCTGATGATTTTGATGGAGTTTGAGTTGAATGTTTTTGAACTAAAGAAAATGAAAAAGATATCAATGTCAAGTGCAAAGATAATTGTGGACCAGTGGACCTGAAACAATCTCTCTGGAATAAGTTGTGTTCAAACTATAGGATCTCTACAGTTTATCGGGAGGGAATTTCATGGTTATGGTTTACTGTTCAACTGTCACAGAGTGCTGTAGTTTTATCTGGTCTTCTCTTTCAGCACAAATAAATAAAACATTTTCACATTTTGTTTATCTTTTTAAGCCTCAGAAAGTGGTGCAGCATAGTATTTTTTGTCAGTTGAAAAGTTGAAAAGTTCACGGACCCAATCCTTCAGTAATATTTAGGTTCGATATACAGTATATGGCACATAAGTTTGGATATTTCTTTCAAAATCTCCAGTGGAATTATGACATCACATTATGGCACCCAAACACATCTAAAATTTGTTGTTTCTGAAATGCAAAATTAAGACCAAGTGTGAAGAAAAATGTTGCAAAAGAGTTGAAAAACAAAAGAGTGCAGTGAAATCTTCCCAACTAATCTTGTAACTGCACTTTTTGCTTAATATAACCTAAATTTCACACTGTGCAATTTACAGGTAAATTTAAAAAAACTGAGCAGCTATTGAAGATTGTCTGAGAGATGTTGCCATACCTCGGGAACCTCCACGTCATGGTCAGGTGACTCTCCTCCATCATCGCTTGTCTTTCTCTTTCTCTTGTTGCGAACGCTTTGGATAAAGTTCTTGTGGAAATCGCAGATGTACAGATGGCGTACCTGAAAAGACAAAAATACATACACCAATTAGAAACAAAAAGACATAACTAGAAGCAGTTTGGGATTTGGGTTACGCTCTGATTCAAAATGATTCTCGATTAATTCATTAAAAAACAAAGAACATTTATTTTACATATTTCTAGTTCCCTTTTGCAACAATCTTTTATGTGCACTGCACATCTATACAAAATAGAATTGATCTTAGATCAGGCAAGAATCTGAAAAATTATACTTGAAATTGTATATATTTGTACTGATTATTTTATTAGCTCATAATTTAAAAAAAAAATTAAATCTAGGCTCAGTTAATTCCATACTGCAGTGACCTATTTGTCAAAGATTTAAAAAAAATATATAAATATTTTCTTGTACATTATACTAGCAGTAAGATTACTGACAGGTGTAAACACTGCCGTCTATTACTCTAATTAATGAACTTCAACACTCTGCTGTAAATTTGCATGGGACTGTTTTATGATTTGAATACAGCTATTTCCAGTGCACTAAACCTAAGAAAAAGCATAGACTAGCATCTGAATATCCATTTTTTTCTTTTTCTTTTTTTCTTTTACATTACTGCCACGTCAGATCAGTGGAGAGGAAATCCTGCTCATAGTAAGAATGTATGTTTTAAATTACCAATACAAAGAATTGAAATTGAATAAATGCAAGCTAGAGGAGTTTAATGCCATACTGAGGAAGATTCCAGGCAAAGCAAAACTATCTCCGTGGAGACAAACATGTTATGTTTATCTGTGTTAATTAAATATGGGGCAATGCATATGAATTAACATGCAGGCAAATATAAATCCTTAGTCCCATTGGCAGGGTAATTACATGACAAAAAAAACAGGACATGACAGGTACAAAAAAAATAAGTCCATGCACAAGACAAAGACATTTTTGATCAGTGAGAAACAAAATGTACACACAGTACACAGATTAAAGAAAATTGACAACAAAACAAGAGATATTTGTAAAGATATTTAATAAAACACATGTTATGCTGGCATGTCTAACTGTCCAGAAGTCACAGTTTCACAGATCGTTTACAGCTATGAAACGTGTTCCTTAGTCGTGCAGGGACCAGACTCCAGGAGTGTGCAGTGATTTTACAGTCTATTGTTTGATCTGTGGTGCTGTCGTGGCCAGGACTCCCTTGAAAAAATAAACCATACAGGTGGACAGTCCCGTTTCGCTGCGGCGGATTATAATGACCGCGCCACCATTTATCGCGGCAGCCCCAATAAAGCCTTTTGTGTGCCTGGGACCAGCTGACAGCCAAACACTAAAACTAACATCCAGTTTACAAGGCATCGATGGACTCGGATTTCACCTTGCATGTAGGACATGTCAACAATCAGTAATGCAACCTGTCAGGGGAAACTCTTATATTAACACATCCAGAGCACTGAATCTGCGTACTTTTTGTTAGACTTACGCGAATTAATTACAGCCACTTTGTTAATTAAAATGACTCAGTATGTCAAAGTTTAGCAGTATCCTGAATGAGTCATTTTATAAACCCCAAAAGTACCTTGTTGCAGTAAGTTAGATCAGATGAGTTGTCCTTTTATACGCCCTCCCATTGACAGTAAGCCATTTTGACGTGCACAAGATGGCACAACCCCCAACAAAGCAAAGCCCCAAACTTCTATAACTTCACAGGACAGCGTTCAAACTTAAGCTCATTACTTGTACTCACACTTTTGTCTATGTCCAGCTTGAGTTTCTTTTGAGATATACTCTTCTGGATCCTCTTGCTGAAGGAGGCGTTTCCAGCGGATCGGCCGCATCTCTCCCCGTCCTCGATGAGACAGCAGCTCTGGCCATAAAACGGTGGTGCCGGGGGACCATCGTGGCTGTCCTCCTCCGTGCTAAACCCGTTCATGCTGCTTTACTGTCCCCGCTCCTTCAGTCAGAGCCCACACAAAGCTTCAACACGAAAGGAGACGCAGGAGTTTCAATCTTCTACGCGGTGTCTCTTTTGTGAAACAAGTAGTGAGTGGAAGCTATCGCGGTTAAATGGTGACTAAAATTACTCTAGTGCTCGGTGATCGTTGACTCGATTTGTTTCCAGCCCCGAGATTCCCTCCGTCAAACAATGCCGTCCCGTTGAAGTAATAGTCCAATGGATTTCCTTGACATGCACCGCAGACAGAAGCAATGCAGAGGCTAGCTTCGATGCTAACTGTACCGCAATGTTGCTTGGACGGTTTCACAAATCCAGAAGTCGGAAAGCAGTAACGTCGCCGTTCGTTAGTTCGTTAGTGTTCGTTTCTTGAGCTGGAAAAGCGGATTTAAACCTGACAGCTGAATAACTAACTGTAACAGATGAAACAACCCACGCAAAGCACTAGTTTGTGTGTGCACATACACTGCCGCGGCATTCTTTCAGAACAGTGCGTACAATGGACAAGGCTTGTCTCCGAACCGGAAGGAAGCGCAAAGTTTCGAACGCGATTGGTAGATTTTTCACACAGGCGGGCGTAGAATCTGAATGCGGCGCTGCCATTGGTCGAAAGTGTTGCCTGTCTGGTGGCGGCCGCTTCCTGGTCATGTCTCGTCATATGTTTTCCACTATGAACAAGAGTGAATGTGGCGTAGCTTCGGCGTTTAAACGTGTAATGCAACGGTTTACACAAAGAGAAGTCATATTAGCTAAGCAAACGATACACTCCGCCATAAACCCAACTAAATGTAAAATGTTTTAGGCTAGTTACAACGAACTAAGTACAGAAAGATGGTGAATCAACTAGTTTGAATGTCTCAAACTGTTTCCGCCATGTAACGCTGTTTTCTTCTCCAGTCCATGGAGCTTATTATACTTCCATGCTCCAGCGGCAGTGTTAAAACTACCGTAGGTTGCTGAACATTAAGTGACTCTAACACGAACACACGCGTGACATAACATAACATACATAACATAGACTAAATAATGTGTTCCTGTCGCTTTTTCTTGTGTTTTGGTAGAGCACGAGCCTGCTTAATTAAATAAAAAGACATACATTTTGATTACTATAGATGTATTATTAGAACATTTCATCCACGTTTTCCTTTGTTATTGTGTATTACATAACCCTTGTTGCATTGTACCTATTCTGTAACACAATGTTTGGACGCAAGATGGAGACAAAAACAAATAAACAAAGCCTTTACTCTGGAGGAACGAAATCCAATCTGTGCAGCTCAGTTGTATTTAGTGATTTAGTTTAGTTTTTGTTAATTAACTAGATAAGGCAACGTGCAGTTTAACACGTCCTAGCTGCAAATATGCAATCCACAATGTTCCCAAATCAGCCCCCCACTAAGTAGCCTGCTTCATGTTTCCACAGAAATGTTATTCCTTAGTCTGAAATGTTCTAAATAATCAATTAAACATATATCTTGAACTGATAATATTACAGGTTTTTATGGTTAAAAAAAAAAAAAAAAAAAAAAAAAAAGAGAGAGAGAGAGAGAGATTTAAGAAATGGCACAATGACACATTCCAAACACTCCAATTTGCTCCAAGCACTAAAAATATGCATTTAGGGTCCCCTCTTGTGTCAACAGGCAACCCTTCTGAAATAAGATTCCAAATTTCCTCCTGGTCTGTCCTCCTGGTTAAATAAATAGTTAATTAACAATGCCATACTCTGGAATATGTCACCAAGAAAAGCAGTTGCAGCTCTGTGATGACAAGCAGGAGACAGACCCTCCACCAAAAAAGTTAGTGCCCCTTTAACATCGCAGTTTATATCGAGTCCTCTTCAGCCCTGGTCCGGTGATTGACGGCCAATTACCCACGCTGTCACTGAGGCAAATGGCTGCTGCTGTTTCTCTGTGCAAGGACAAACAGGTGGATCTGACAGACTGACATATTCATAACCCACATATTTTAGACAACCAGTGAAAGAAAATGATATTTTGAGAAGGGCATTTTGGTGTAAATTCAGTCAGCATATTACACAATCTGAATTATGGTCTTCAATTGCTTATAAAAAAAAAAAAAAAAAAAAAGGCAAAAGCACAAAATAAGGTTCAAAACTTTTAATACTTGAGAGCAAATGTGTTGTGGATGTGTTGCCCGGTTTAATAAACTACTGCTAATATAGACAGAACGTTTTTCATAAATCCAAGGGCATGTTAAGTGCATTTCCTGCAAGTACAAAATCAAGCTGCTTTTACACTGTACTTGTTACGAGAAAAGTGGTGTGCATCATCTCTTTTTACCATTATGAGTCAAATGGACTTTGTGAAGTTTTTCATTGTGTGTTGTAGTTGCCTTTTCCTAATCTAAAGTTAAGCAAAGTTCAGAAATGTTCCTTCTCTAAGTTCAATTAATTTGACCGAGCCATTGGTACTTAGCCGTGAATATGGGTAATATCAAATTTTAGTGTGCATATTTTTTGAGGAATATTTTTTAGATTATTCACACATTGTTTAAAAAGACTGTAGACTGTTTATGTTTTTGGAATAAAGATTCAGTAAGAATTTGTGTTATTATTATTATTATTATTATTATTATTATTATTATTATTATTATTATTATTATATATAATAATAATAATAATAATAATAATAATAATAATAATAATAATAATAATAATAATAATAATAATAATTTTACTTGATCATGATTATTAATTAACCAAATTAATACCATTTAAAACTATTTTAATATTAGACTATTTTGTGTGAGGTGGTCAAGAGATTGATTGTACTTTGTGCATATTTCTAACATACCTCCTTGGAGACAAGAACTGCTACCAAGCGAAGTTACCAGGTCAGATCTGTTTATGAGCTCAAGGTAAGATGTCATTTTTGAACATCATGTATAACTGTACAACTGCAAGATGGATAGTTATATAGTGCTATCTCCATGGAGACCGTTTACCAGTCATTTCATAATGCACATTTAAACTACATAGTCTAAAGTGTAAACAAATAATATTTTTTAAAAAAGGTCTGGCAATAAACATTAACAATTAAAAAGTAGAAAGAATTTCAAAATATTATTTCTGTCTGATATTGCTCTGTTTATTTTATTACTGTTCATTACAGCAGGTGTTTTTTATTGGCCACCTGCAAAGCAAAAAGCTCATGCTGCTTAGCATATGGTGACATTTTATTAATATTTTTGCATAATATAACTGAAAAAATTGGATTCTAGGCAGGTCTCACTGCACATTCTCACTGCACATTGTGGAATTTTCTGGATTGCTGATATAGAATTAAACAGTAGAATAGAACTTTTCTCATTTACTCTTCCCTTTAGTCCCCTATCTAGCCCCCCACATCACCATCACCTGCATCTCCTTTAGACCTCCAGATATTCCCTCACTTCCTCTTTTAGTCCTCCAGACGCCCTTCCTTATTTTCCCCTTTAGTCCTCCAGACCTATCACTCTCCCTTTTCAGTCTTCAAGATCCCTCCTCGCCTCCCCCTTCAATCTCCCTTTTAATCCTCCAGACCCCCCAATCATTCTCTCCTTTAGTCCTACAGACCCACTGCAACTCTTCCCCTCTTTAGTCCTCTAGACCCTCCCTCACTTTCCCTTTTAGTCCCCAAGATCCCCTTTCTTACTCTCCCCTTTAGTACTCCAGACCTATCACTCTCCCCTTTAGTCCTCCAGACCCCTCCCCACCTCCCCCTTCAATCTCCCTTTTAATCCTCCAGGCACTGCTCAGTTTAGCTCCACTATGGATGTGTGGGTGGAGTTTTGGTGATTAGTCCCACTTTAACTTTACAAACACAGATTTATGAAATATGCAACAACAATATTCATATTAGTACAGACAAACTGCCCAACCCTGCTCTTTACTTGACAGTTGGAAAAATAATTCTACCAACACAAATATTTTCTCCACACTCCGTCTGTGGTCTCGTCTTGACAAACTATTACGAGTACAGAATGCCTTGGCCGTTTACATAATTTACATAACTGTGCGAGCTCCATCTGTGTCAGCGCTGCCCTTTCCAAATGCCACCGAAGGTCACACGGCGCTGGTCCAATCACAATGATATTTTTCATCTACAACAAACACAAAATGCAGGTTCAACTGAAACTAATCAATGCATTTGTTTGTCTTATTATGGAAAGCAGCATATCCATGTACATCAATCAGCAGTGTGAGACAGTCATGTGTACGGAGGTGAGATATTGATCTTGATAGAGTTTTTACTCCAGATGCTCTCCCTTGTATGGGCCCATGGAGTTCTCAAAGCTTTTTCTGTCCGGAAAAAAAAAAAAAAAAAACTCAGGGTAAACATGCAGGGTTTGTGTGTTAAACATGTGTGAATAAAACAAAACACAGCTCCAGGTATGTTTGTGATGAGGACAGTGATGTGAAAAAGAAAGAGAATGAAATAATCTATATAACAGATCCAACTATAAACATATGAAATTACAAACGGGGCTCATTTAGGATATTCCAACAAAAACATTTTAAATATATTTGCTTAATTGTGTAGAAAAGAAAAAGATAACTCTAACACTGTTTAATGAGCCAGAAATGTACTTTTACCACACATAAATGCCTATCTAATTAGAATTACAATTACAGGACTTATATTTGCCTTATCAACACTTTCATACACAAGTGCATCAGTGAAGTCTAGCGTGAGTCTGTGGGCCAATGAGGCATTCACTCTCATTTGTATTATTAGCTGTGAGTGAGTGGACAGTCCCTCTGCTGTGTGAAAGCTGCTGCATTAAAGAGCTCCTCCAATGCATAGACTACATGTCACATCACATTTGCCACGTGCAGAGGAGGGGACTGTGCCAAAAAATTCAAGTTAAGAGTAATTCCTGCAAGAAAGAAAAGTAAAAGTATTTAGGGAAACTGCTTAGAAGTAATTGTAAACATAATCTGATTAGGTGTAACATCTGATTTATGACTTTACGTTAATGTAACTGGAAGAAGAAACCAATACAAAATGCAGAAAGTCTTAACGAGATCAAAAGATAGAGCAAAAAAGGTGCTCAACTTATCTTTTTTCTGTAGCCAGATGCGTTGGAGAGGGCGTGTGTAATGCTTGTCAAACTGAGTAGCTAAAATAAGTAGTTTTTTCTACAAAAGATAGAGCACAAAAATGAGAAAAACTAAATCATATCTTAAAGTGAAATTGCTATAGCGCAATGATATTTTCCTTCCTATAATCATGACATACGGGGTTGTAATTTGGTGAGGCCAATTCCTGTTCTCTTTCATTGTACTTTGGGGAAAACGACTGAAAATCATACCACATTACAACAGTCTTTATCCATCCCAGTTATCCCACACTTGAGATGTGCTATTGATACTTTTTCAGCTGATGTTAAATGCTAACTGGAGGCACTGGTCTGTCTGAAGCTCTGTCAAGTTAGACTTTAATCTCAGCTTTGCTTTAACTCAATCTGACCAGAGTTGAGCTGTTTAATAAATTCTGTCAAATA